CGTTATATTTAATTTAGTCATTTCGTCCAATTCTAAAGGCCAGGGCCCAGAAGAACTGTAACACAAGTAAACACAAGCTTTTAACAGTATTTTCCTTAATCTTTATTAGGCAGGCGCTATAAAAATGTTAATTGTCCCTATGCTAGAACCCAATAATCATACTTAAGGTGTCAAATTTTCAGAAATAGCAACAGAAGTATGAAAAGGTCTGGGTTCAATACTGCTTCCCACAATATTATTTGCAGCGGCACAAAATGAGAAACGACCTATCCTCCATTACAAGGAAGGTGTCAATATACGTTGTGGCATCAATAGAAGAAAATGACATCAGAATCATTGACTGTTTATAAGGAGATAAAACCATATACACAGACATGGAACGATAACTATTTTTAGATCATTAAATGTTAGAATGGTCAATATACATATAATGACATCTGCATGGAGCTGTACATAATAGACATCCCTAGAGGAAAAAATTGGAGTGATAGGTAATCTTAATTTTATTTTAAATACATTAAATAAGAAAATTAGAAGTAATGGAGTGGAGTAGTTTTACTTCTTAAAATATACTCTTTTTTTTTGTAATAGAATGAGCACCGACATTCACAAGTGGGGTATAAATCTGCAAAATGTATTTTCTATTTTTAAAACTTTCTCTAGTAAACATATATTGCTTCTGTAAGTAAGAATAAGGATATCAAAAGGGGTTATTATAAAATGATTGTTTACCCCCAGAATAAAAACTTTCTTCCAAGATCACTTTTGTTCCATGTGTAATCCATCAACTAACTCACCCTCGTCATGCCCACCCACTTATGCTGTCTGCACAGGAGGGACCTAACAGAAGTTTCCTCTATTATAAGTGATTATTTTCTTCCTTTCCTCCACAGATCTTAAAGATTTGTAAAACATCATCAAATGTAATAATTCTAGCAAATTCTTTTATATTCCCTCTGTACTTTACTCACTTTGCCCAATTTATTTCATTTGAGGTGATAAGTTTAACTTTAAAAGAAGACCTTACATAGTTAAGGGTTCAAATTTCACTTCTGTCAATCACTGGTAAATCACGAAGTGATGCCACTTGAATTGCATCTTCCGCACTAAGTCTGACGACTTCCTGCAAACTGATGCCTGATTACTTACTGTTGCAAAAAAAAAAAAAAAAAAAAATCTCTTACGACATTAGGTACTTTCATTTCTCACAAATACAGTTTCATTGCATACTGCTTCCTGAAGCTCAACAGATAAACAAAGTCATGGAAAATATCCACAAGCAGAGGTTATCTGTCTTAACCAGGAGAGTATGAGCCTTTTTCATCCCATTCAGATGCTGGGATGCAGTGTTTAAATGCCAAAGTGACTTGATCATCATCTATAACTTGTGCGGCACTAAGGCAATGCAACTCCTCATCTCACCACCTCTCACTCATGGTCATGCCGAAAACAGCCAGTTTCTCTTGCCTTCACTTTGTACCTTACATAAGTGGACAAAATTCTGACTTTTCCCTTTTCCTGACCCAGAGATGGGTGTGTTCACAGTACTGAAGCTAAGGTTACAGATCTTTGGAGTACTTAAATTGTCAGAATACTGTATTTGCATAAATTTGTGGATGTATTCAATAACTTTTTTAAAAAATTTATTTATGTATGCATACAGAACTGGGGTATAGTCCAGACGTGCAGAAGTGGTGAGAGGATTCACTAGAGACAGAGTGGGGAGCAGAACAGAGTGAAGAAGTACACTGCTGAGGAAAGGAGTGGGAGGGTGAGCAAAGGACTGCTGGGCCATGTGGGTTGCCCCAGGGCTGGACAATTGAACTCACACTGAAGTGGAAGTGGCTAGCTTGCAGTGCTGCACTTTAACCTGCTGTGCTACTAGGGAGGGCCCTATATTCAATAGCTTTTGAACATGCAGAAGAATTGAAGGAAAAAAGTTCACTACCTTAAATTTAGAAACTGCAGCAAAAATTAATAATTTAAGTAGATTTTTCATTCCCAGGATGATTTTTTAAAGGAAATTATAAGTATAGTTTGTAGAATCAGTGAACTAAGCAAAGCATTTCCTTTACCTTATGAAATACCCTCTGAGTTTCAAATAGTAATTTTCCTGGTATTTTATTATTCACCACCGACCCATCAGAAGTGGAAATCAATTTACTTTCATGAATAAGCTCTGTACTAGGGGCTGGTTATATAAATCACAGGATTCTTATTTTGTTGGAAGCCATTTGTTTGAAGTCAAGATGCGGATGGTTAATTACCTATTTACGCATACCTATTTTGCATTTAATAAAGAGTATCAAGTTTCATAATGTTTGGGGATAGCAATTATACATTCAAATTTATGTACACGTTTACAGAAGAGAGCATTTCAAATAGTGAAAGGCAAAGAGTTTAAAACCTAAAACTTAAGTAGAGACACATCATCTGCGCAACTTCTAAAGTGTCATGTTATTTAATCTAACAAAGTCCTTGATTATTTGTGGATAAAAGGAGAGGAAAAGGCAAAAATAGGTTACTTGGTTAACAATTCCACCTTCTGCTTTCACCCTATTGTCAGGTAGTTAAGGCGCTTCACAGCCACTGGAGAGATGTCATGCTGGCTGAAACAAATGGTGGAATTTTGATGAGTTTCACATTAACAGTTGAGTCTATTTCCTTTTTTTATGGTCAACTCATCTGGCCACATCACTGACTTCTTTAGAGGCAAACAGACTATTTCCATAGCACACGGTGAGTGCATATTGCTTATCTGAACTAGATGGCACAATGTAACAGCTTTGCCAAGGTCTGGATAATTTCTCCTGTTCTAGTCTCTGCCTCTACTAAATCTTCTCTTTCCTTATTTACTTTTCTCCTACTTAATCCCATCATCCATGTAATAAATTGAATCTTGGTTAAACGGCTCTTTCGTTTATACTTAGGACCCCATGTTAATACTCATTGGTAATATAAGCACTGGCACTTCAATTGTAACATCCGTTTTGCTTCCAGTGACTCCTATGAGTCTAATGGGCTCTCTCTATAAGTGGCCATAATATTCCATTATACACTGGGGAAAATATATTTTTAATAGAATTTTTAGATTTGGTTACATTTTCAAAAGTACCCATAAAACTGAGAAGTATTAAAGATAGAGATCTCTGAGTTGAAGGGTTTTCTAGTCTTGCTTGCAATCACCAGCAACTATGCTAATATTCCTTTCTACTGTTCCCACTTTGCTTCACAGTTATGTCTAGAAATCCTCTGCTGGTGCTGGAAGTGTCCACTGGCTCTCTTCTTTTGGGACAATCTTTGCTTTTCCACTTAATCCCATACTGTTTCTGCTGAAAGATCACTAGTCTGCAAAAGAGGTCACACTTTACATAGAAGCCAAAGGAGGTCTGAGAGCAGTGCTGAGCAGCAAGACACTGAGAAACAAATTCACTTTCTTCATTTCTACATTGTGCTCCCTTGATAAAGGGTAATGAGCCACATATGAAAGGAATCATGTCACAGATGAGTTTTTTGGTTTTCAGTATTTTAGACATTGGGTTAGTCAAATTGAAAAGTACATGAATTCACAGGTCCATTATTATTAAGTGGTTGTCTACAGCCTGAAGAAGTCAGTTACACAACTGTTACAAAAAAGTGCTGCAATGAGGTTTACTATAGACAGTAAATTTGTTTCAAGGTGCTTTAACAGGGCCTGGATGGTGATTCAAGAGAGAGTACCGAGGGGACAACAGTAGTCTGGAAAACCAGCGTATTCACACTTTCACTGAGTCACTGTGCACATGCTCACAGGCCGCATCCATCAGTTGTTGTGAAAACATCTATGCAGGAGACTTTGACTGCACAGACATTTTCTTCTCCTTTCATGCTGATGAATACATGTCTTAGTTTTTAAAAATTAAACTGTAAAATTTATAACCTTAAACGATATAGAATTTTAAGACAGCCCACTTTTATGATTATCTAACTATATTGAAAATGTCAGACATTTCTTTTTACTGAATACACTAGTTACTATGACATGTCTGTGTGTTAAAGAGAAGATATGCTAAAATGAATAAACTCTATATTTTCCATTCAAAGCAATTCACAGTAAATGTGCAATTAAAAAAAAAATTTGATGTCTTGTACTGTGAGTTAAGGCAGTCACTTGACTTAAGAGAAAACTTCCCAATGATTTGGAATGCAATAATTAAATCAATTTTAATCACACAGCCTTCCAATATCATCTCTTTGTGCATTGTCATGAGGTGTTAAGCCAGACCCACTCAGTGTTGTTTTTCTCTCTCTTTAGCATTCATTATTTGCCATTCAATTGTTATAAACAAAATTCATTTGAAAGAAAAAAAAATAGCACTAGGTTTGAATTAACAATATGGTACAAAATGCCCTCAGCAGGAATATATCTTCCCTCTGTTGAAGCATTTAATTTTCTTTAAGAAACAAGCATATTTTCCTTATGCTCTGTCATTCTGTGTGTCTCCCCAATAAGAAACATAAATTGATTATCTTGATTTTGTATAGGTAATATTAAAAGATATACATTTTTTCCTAATTTTGTTTTATTCCCCTTTCTTCTTTCCTCCCCTTTGCTTTCAGAGCAAGAAGTATTGATTATAGGAAAATTTAAACTAAACATATTCTTTACCAAATAGGGTGAATGATAACAATAATAAGATGAGAAAATGAATTCTTTTCAGTATCATTGAAAACAAACTGTTAAATCCATAAAACACTAGACATAATAGTATATGTCTGTTAAAATTTGAAAGAGAATTATATTTTCTTTCTCTTCCCTAATCCACCTCAGATTTGCACACACAAAAAACTAATATCCTTTCAAGACATATGTTTTGGTGAGTCTCAACAATATTAAAATAAAACATCATGATGAACAAAATTTTTCAAAGTACTGCAATCTATTCCGCTCTTAAGGTATTATCACTAAGCTGTAACATTTCCAGTAGACTGTTATGGACAAGATGAGTTCAGCATCTTACCTGGAGTTTGGAAATTAAGGCGCCTCAGTTCTACTGGGTCTGTTGGATGGTGTGAAGGAACCTCCTTACTATTTGGTATGCTGCTCTTTCTAGAGTCGGTCTCTGCCCTTTTCCTATAAAGGGGAAAATTACCATTTAAGAATAAAAAAAAAAAAAACTGAAACAAACAAAACCATGCTTCCCCCCCCAGGCCCCTCTCTCCCAGCTTTCAGTTAAGTTTTTTGACTAGCTACCTTTGTGACCTTGGTTGTATTTCATCTCTTGGTCTACAGTGCTTTCTCAGGTCTAAAGTTTTTGTTTCAATGAATGACCTTACAGTTCTCTTTTAGCTCTACAATTAAGCAATTCAAAGACTCTAGGCTGTCAGGGCCATTGGTGACATCTGTTTGCATCCCTGTACTGCAGTTCTCCCTTACCCAGAACCCTTTTCATGAGTCACAAGACAGAGTACCCCAGCAGCCAGTACTAAGCTGCCATTATCATAGCGAACAGCTCTGAAACTACTAAGCCTTCAGTTGAAAAGCCAATTCTTGTCTCCTCCACCCTGTCCAAGAATATTGAACTGTAGGCCACAAAATGAGACTGCATGGGAAGTTTCCCATAAACCATGCAAGTACAGCGAATGCTTTCCTAAGATGCCAAGGCAGCCTAATGCATGGAGGAGATCTAGGACCTCATAAGACCAACATCCCTTTTCTCTTTATCATACCAAAGGAAACTAGCATTGGCTGTTTATAGTGCAAAGTGAGCTATGATGAATACTTTTTAAATGAATGTCAATACCAGAGAGAAACTATTTTCACCTGGGAATAGATAGTCCCACTTTGCTGATGATCATTAAACATGTATAAACCATTTAACATTACGTTGTTAAAAGCTATTCTTCAACCAATTCATTTTATTTTTAATTGTTACTTATTAGTTTATTACCCAGTCTTGTTTACAGTGCCACAATATAATTTTAAAAAATGTCTGTGGGAAAGATGTCACATTTTTTATAAGAGTTTTTTTACCTATTTTTTCCCCAAAATAATCAGAGTAATATTTTTCTTCAGGTTGACTAAGGTTAATAACTCACTGAACACACAGAAGCCTTTTCAAATAGTACAGATACTGATCCAGCCATCTCCATAGTGGAATCTTAATCTTAGTACCTCCCCTCTGTTCAAAGCACTCTTCTCTTATTCTTATATGAGAAAAGAGAGCTGTGGGGGCTTGGGAGCTCTCCTCTACCTCATAAGACTGTGGGGCAGCTCATCAGCATGCTGAGGCAATGGGTTCTCATTCAGGGCCTCCCAGGTCACTACTTAGCCAAGGACTCCTGTTATGTAGACTTTCCTTCCACCTCTGCTCTTCTATATAAAATAAAACTAACTGGGGTGAAGGGAAGATTTATGTTGAGGGAAAGGACACTTGATTCACTCAAGAGCAACACCATCAGCAAAACATCAGTGATGGCATAAATTTCCACGGGTGAGTCCTAATGGACACCAAGGCTACTCAGAACATCAGATTAACCTTAAGATGTCAAGTATCGCCTTCAGACAGAAAGGCCTCACAAGTTACTCTACCACTCAGAGTTAGTGAATTTCAGGCATGCCAAAGGTCCTGGCAGTTCTAGGTGTGTGAAATGGAAAATGAGAAAGAAAAGAAGAAAAAAGATGGATGGCTGGTGAGGAAGTTATGAGAAAAAGAGATGGATGGACCCAAAGACCATGTGAAAGGAGGACGTGATGAGCAGCTTCAGAGTAGAAAATGTCACTGTGTTTATGCCCTGGGTATTTACCACACAGAGCTGAGATTCATCTTTGCACTGAAAATACAAAATAAAGGGCGAATGAAATGTCACTGTGGCTAGTCATTCAAACCACATGTAACAAATATTAGGTCAGTCTTTTTGATTCACGTAATTCCTGAGGTCATTTCTGGTTGGCACAGATTTACATGTCTTTACTGATGTGCCAGACTCTACAGCTAAAATCCTGAATTTTCATCCCTTCTCATTGTGGCTCTGCTGTCATTCTTGTGAGATTATGAAAACCAGATGTAGAAATATCTGGGCAAGAAAACTATTTCCCCTTTGTACATATTGTGGAACCACCTCCTACTCATTTTTCACTGAGGCCAGGCTGAGTGACACTGGGATGGAAGGATAGTAAAGAACAGTCTCTAGAGAAATGTGAGTTTCACTGTTGCCAAGAAAGTTGCCAATCACCTCTTGTTCAGAAGGGTGTCAACAAATCCAGACTTTGGGACTAAAACTACAATTCATACTTGTAACAAATTGAGAGGAGTGCCCTGACATTTAATACCTAACTTTTCCCTTTATCTGTTCAAATAAAAAAAAAAAAATTAAGACCTCAGGCTCCAAAAATCCTAGCCAGCTAGAGAAACCAGCTGCTTAAATTTTGTTTTTCTTGGTTTAGTTTGAATGATCACAACATGGATAATTCTGGCTGCCCACACTCTTATCATATTATTTTTAAGCACAAATGTGCTAAAATGGTTTGTTTTCCAACAGAAAGGATTTCTAAGAACAGTTTGCAAGATGAAGAGATTGGCTATTATGTATAATAATGGTAAAGAGCTTTAAAAAATTGGACTACTGTCATAAAGTATTAAATAACAAACAATGATCTAAATCAGACCCAACACAAACATAAACAGCAACATTTTCCTGAAAGTTTTCAGAGGTCTCATCTCTTATTTTCAAATAGGAAAAAAACCAAGGCCAGTGACTAAATTCAGATTCTGTATATCACCTTGGTTAATTTTTGTTGGCATTAAGACCATAAGAACCTAACATGAGTTGAATTTCACTCAATGAGAAGTACCTACCACGTGCAGGGTTCACATAGGTCAATAGGAAATGGAACATCACATGGCATCTGAAACTGCTAATGGCATAAAAATGCACAGTTGTTTGGGATGTGAATAGTGTACAACAGAAACTGTTGCTCTTTAGTTTTATTTTTATTTGTAATTACCTGGTTCTCTTTGAAGGGTAAACAGGAAGCAAAAACCAAGGGATTGTGTGAAAGATTGAGCCTGTCTTCTGGTAGTAAAGATTTTCAGACATGGGGTTCTTTTGGAAGAAACATACATGTATCTGAAAGCTCTGCTGTTAATATTCAAATAAAGCAGTTCAAAGCATTATGGCTCTGATGCCATGAAGAAGGTCACCCCAACTATGCTACTACTGATATGTATCTCTTTGGGTAACTCAAATACAAACCTAAATGTCTTCACCAATAAAAGAGAAAAGGAGTGTTAGAAGATTATATTTTAGTTTTGGTCCAACTGTCTCATCTTAATATAAGAAGAAGGCAGAGGGTGAGTTTTTTTTTTTTTTTTAAGGGCAGGTAGATATGTAGGTGTATTAAGTGTGTTCAGAGCATACTGTTCTTCTGGCATGTGATTTTATGTTGGATTCATGACAATTAGTGATATTACTCAACATCTCTCAACCCCCCCCAAAAGACACCTGCACAAAGGTACTAAGCTTCCTGACAGTAAAATTGTAGCACAGCGTGCTGATCAGAATGAAGTAATTTTAGAGAAGACTACCTGCAGGGTTCCCAAACTTCACGCACTGGAACCACCTATGGGGACTATTAAACTACAGATTGAGACCGAAGTTTTTAATTCAGTAGTTCTGTGTTGGGAGGGGCAGGTTGAGATTTTGTTTTTCTCTTAAGTTCCCAGGTGACGCTGATGCTCCTGCTACTGGTGCAGGGCACACTAATGCAAACCATCAGCACAGTGTTGGGGAAAGGCATGCTGGATGGGCTGAGATCTTGTTTAGTTTTATCTTAATTAGGCATGTGTATCTCTCACCACAGATACAGATAAACAGATATCAAGGCATAAGTTAGAAAGCGAGAATGTTAGGCTGCGCAAAGCATTCAATAACCATGCTTATAGCTACTACTGTAGCTGTTTCTATTAGTCAAGGCTAGAAGACATGGAAAATAATTTGGAATTGGATCAGCGTTTTTACTATGGCACTACAAACAAAATTTGCAGAGACAAATGTAGTAGTACTCCTGTATTGAGAGGTGACTGGGGATCAAATTGAAAACTAAGCTTTCATAAAAAGAAGCAAAACAAATCAAAATGACTTATAGACAACCCTACTTTTCTGTTATGCAGAGACATTAATCCATAGAAATTCTCAATTTACCTTATCTACAAAAAAAAAAACCCTCAAAAAATGGTTTTACCACTTTCTAAATCGGGCTGCAAAGGAAGACAGACTATTTTTCTTATTATATACATAAAGAAGTTTATTTCCTAGAGAAACATCTTTATATCACAGCTATCTTAAAAAATTAGGTTTTGTCCGTCTTTCACTTGTCAGGTTTCACCTTTTGAATCCAACTTCCACCAGCACCTTCTCAATGCCTGTAAAGCCTACCAGGATTTTTTTTTTCCTTACTGAACATAAAAGGGACTTGTTCTCTATTCCTCACCTGTCAGGTTTACTGCTCCATTTTAATGCAGCAAAAAAAAAAAAAAAAAAAAAAAAAAAAAAAAAAAAA